AACATGTCCCGGAAGTCCTGGTAGTGCTCTGGCACCAACGCTTCAAATGGGACAGGTTCTGCTTCCGGGTCATGGGCTTCCTGGGCCATCTGCTGGGAGGGTGTTGTAGTCGCTCTCAGGTCATGCCCCCACCCCGGGGGGATGATCGCAGCATAGATCCCGTCCCCGGGTTCTAGGGCAAGGTCTGGGTCGCTTCGTGCCTGTAGCAGCTTGCAGGAGGATGGGCAGTGGGACATGGTGACTTTCTGTCGTGCCCAATCCACCTCCGGGTTGTGGTGCAACAGCCACGAATGTCCTATGATGAGGGACTGTCGTCCGAGGTTTGCAACTGCGAACCGGGCTCGCTCTGTGTGTTGTCCGAACATCAGGAGGGCCTCCAGTTCCTCAGTTATGGCTCCATTCTCGTTGGGGGTCCCGTCGACGTTGCGGACCGGGATGGGCTGAGGGAGCCGGGTGGTCTCAAGGTTGTGCTTCCGGATGAACTTGGGGCTTACGAAGTTCCCGGTGGCTCCTGAGTCCAGGAGCGCTGACACGGATACAGAAGTGAGGGAGGTCAGGGCAGTCAGCTTCACGGTGAGGCTGAGCGACCTGGGGGATTGTTTAGAGAGGACGTAGATAGCGGGTGGGGACACTGCTACTTCAGGTGTTACCCCTGGGGTTCTTTCACTCTCTTGTGCTGGAGATGCGTTTTTTCTCCTTTTCTTTGCGATAACTCGGTGAAGCTTTGGCATTGCTGGCTTATGCGCACTGCGGTATTTACACAAGTTATCCTCTACGGGCGCCCGGGACACATCCCTCACCGGCCGCCTTCCTGAAAATCCTCCTGAGGCCCTGCCTCTGGCTCTTCCCCCTCTCCCTCTGGTTCCTCAGTCAGCTGCCTCTTCAACCCCTCCATCAGTGCTCAAAGGTCTTCCGGGTGGAGGCGTCGGACCCGGTGGACCTTAGGTTGCGGGCAGTCTCGTGCGATATGCCCTGGGGCGTTACAGTTGTAACACAGCCCGTTCCTCCTGTGGTCAGTCCTCGAGTGGTCGAGGTCCATGGGTTGCGGGCCTGTCCCTGTAGGGGGCGGGCTGCAGGAGTTGGGGGGGGGGGGGGCTGCGGGCCCAGGTCGTGGGGCTGCGGGTGTGGGACATGCGTGAGGGGGGTTTGTAGTTGGCAGGGGTCGTGTCAGGGTAAACGGAGGCCTGGGCAGGGGCACGCGGGGTTGTGTCATCTGGAAGTGTCGCCACTGGTTGTCCAGGAGGGTGGCTTCACGTTTCCACTCGGCCCAGGTGGTAGGCATGGGGCGGAGGCGATATATACTTTCACGGAGCCAGGCGTTGATTGCTTGCTCGAAACGGTCGACAAGCCCAACGTCGCCCAGCCGCGAGGCGGGTCCCAGTATCTCGAACTCCTGGATGACTTTGTCCACGGAGTCGCTCCCCTGTCGGATGCTTGCCAACTTCTGCCGGGCAGTGGCTTCCCGGTTGGGGTCCTGGAACATGGCATCGAGTTCCGTGTTGAACTCGTCCATGGTGAGGGTGGGAGAGTTTGCTGTTAACAGCGCGATGGTACGCTGGGTCGCCCACGCTCCTGCGGTCCCCCCCTTCATGTAGGACAACACGAAGAGGATCTGAGAGAGGGGGGTGGGGAACTCGGCTGCGTGGACGTGGAAATAGATGCCACATTCGGCCTTGAAACAGTCAAGGTCCTCGCTGGCTCCTGAGAAGGCAGTGGGGGGGGCAACCTTAGGCCCCTTGGGTCTGGGCGCGGGTGGGGGTGCAGGGGAAGGTGTAGGTGCAGGCATGGGGGCGGGTGCCGGCTGGTTCAAGACCTGGTTTTCAATGATGGCCTGTAGTTCTTGGAACCGGGCCAGCAGGTCGTCGTACTGCTCTTCGGTTACCATGGCAGGGGAGGGAGGAGGGATAGGGGAGACGAGGTTGAAGCCTTCTTCTGCTGTCAGGGACGCGTCTGGGGTAGAGGAGGCCCGGGTGAGATGCCTGACACTAGAAGCCTCGCGGGGTGTGGAGCGGGCGTGTGTACTGACGGGCCTGGCTCAGGAGGCAGTCCCTGGCCACTTAGACTGAAGTGGAAAAGGGTGTTATTATTATTAAAAGGGAATACTATGTTACTTACCTGAAGTGGAAAAGGGTGAGAAGAAGGCTACTTCTTCGGTTCCCACTTCAGGTATGTTTATATACATGCGGCTTAGGTCACATGACGGGTGCCATGTCATCCTCGCATACAGCCATAGTCACCTGGGTGTCCCCGTGGGGGATCCCGAGGGCGTCTGCTGTGAACGCGCAAGCTGGACACAGTGGGGGTTGCCCGAGGCGCCCGGGCTGGGCATGTCGTGAGCATGCTGCGGGTGGGTCAATGGTACATTGATACAAGGAAAGGTCGTCCATGTAGAATAAAGAGAAAATAAAGAGAAGGTGGAATAAGTAAAGAGGGAGTGGAATGGAGAAAGAAGGAAAGAAAGAAGAAGGGAGGAGGTAGGGGAAGACCGGGTGGCGGGGTACTGGGTGAAGTGGGGCTGGGTGGGGCCGGGTCAGGCAGGTGTGCCCTGACATTGCCCCATTTGCGATATCCATGTCGGTATCCAGATTTGTGGTGATGATCACTTTGCACCCCTCTGCCAGGGGCACTTTCCTTGCCAGTCCACCTTGATGCTTCAGCCTGCCACTATAACTGTTATCCTTCAGCACATGCCGTGCCATCGCCCACTCCTTGTGTATCATTAATGGTCGCCCCCCAATCGTGTCTTCCACATGAAAGTTGTACAACCGTCTGCCTGTCATTCTGCAATGCTGTCGCATTGCTTGCTCATTCCACAAGACCCTCACTGCATGTCGGGGCATCACCAATACGGCTTCCTTCCATGGGGCCTCCTTTGCGTTTGTTGGGGGACAATCCTTTGATGTCACAAGGAGTCTCCGAAGCATCTTCAAATGCGAAGTTGTGCATTTCCCATGTCACACATATCGAAGGAATTCAGTCCACTCCGCATCTTGGACTCGCATTTGCTGTGTCAAGCACACCACCGTGGTAAGTTGTTGGTATATGTTACAGGAATGGGTTCCGGGGAACCCAACCTGAACCATTCGGCTCACTAATGGAGGTGGCTGTATAGCCATCGGAGGGAGAGCGGAATGGGATGAGTGTCTGGAAGTACAACCTGTGGGTTGGCCAATGGTAACTTGGCGCTCCTGGGAGCGTACCGGTAGCGAGTATGATGTGGGCTCCTTGAGGGAGCCTCCTGGCTGTCTGCTAACAGGGACTTGGCGCTCCTGGGAGCGTGCCGGTAGTGGGTGTGCTGGGAGTGGTTGGCTAGCGGTGATTTGGTGCTCAATGGAGCGTACCGGTAGTGCGGGATACTGGGACTCCCAAAGGGAGTCACCCAGTTGGTGGCTATCAGTGACTTGGCGCTCACGGGAGCGTACCGGTAGCGGGAGTTGTTGGGGAAAGCAGGCTGGTGGACCAGTGCATGGTAGTGGGTGACCATGGGAAGTGGGACCCGCGGGTGCGTGGCCAGGCATCCTGGAGCTGCCTGGACCATATCCCTCTCCTAAGGAGGTGGGATAGGCTACAGTTCCTGAAAGGGAACTTCTGGTTGGATGGGAGTGACCACTCAACCACCTGGTGGACTGGTGGGAGCAGGCTGCAGGAGGTTGGGCATGGGAATGCCCTCCTCATTGTGGTTTTGTCATGGAGAGGATGAATAGGGAGGTGGACATGGTTCCAGGGTTACAGGTTGAGTTTACAGTGGTGGCACAATGGTGAGGATGTTACAATCACGGTACTAGGTTTGTGGGTTATGTATTCAATGAAGAAAGACCTCTTTCGGCATTTGCCTTTACATGTCATATGACTAGTTTATACCTAATATAAAAGTTGTAATGGTCGAGGGAAGTCCCTTGAAATTCAACAATTCCCCCAGCCAGCACCAAAACCCAGTGGGAAAGCTTGGCATGGGGTTTGGGTAGAGAAATAGGGGAAAACAATAAGGAGGCATACCTGGTTCTACCTGCTTGTAACCATGGACCATAAGATTCTGGTCCATTCCTATAACAGTATAGCTCTGACCCTGTTATGTCCTCTCCCATATCCTGTGCCACCGATATTGGCCAGTACAAAGGTGCACTGCTTTTCTGCACAACAGGCTTGAACTGATGGAAGTCCCCGCAAATTATCATGTTCAATCCTCCCCATGGCATGTGGCACCTCTCCTCCTCCCCATTGTGGGCTTTGATTAGCCCCATTATTGTAGAGAGGCGAGCCATCAGTGATCAGGATACCATTGAGTACTCATCAATTATGAGGTACTCCTTTCCTGCCCACATGCTTGCCAGTTTGCAGATTTTACTGGCCCCTGGCTTCCCTGACCGTTGAGCCGTCAATCCGAACAACATGTGAAGCATCTTCCCTCCTATGAGACTGGCAGCAATTCCTGTGTATGCGCCTAGGGCCAATTTCCCTTCTATGCCACGGCTCTTGAAGTATTGCCGAATACTGTGAATCACTCGCGACTTCCCTGTCCCACCTTCCCCAGTCAGGAGCATCAGCAATTGTTCTGCATCCTCTCCGCAAATCCTCGCTTCAAGGTGATGTGTTACCATTGCATACGCACGAAGCTGATCTTCATGTAGGCTTGAGACGTCTACATCATTGGATGTGTTGCTGCTTTCTGTCAGCATTTCAATTGTCTGCCACATAAAATCATTGCTCCTCTCATGCATTCCGTTCAGCGCTTCTTCCAAAGTTGTCACTGCCATTGTTTGTGTGAGCGTTCCTTCTCCACTTTCCTCTGCAACATGATTCTGTGCCATTGCCAACGACCATGCATTAAACCGTGCCATGTCTTCGTGCTCGGCTAGTCGTATCATTTCCTCGCATGACTCCCATGTTATCGTGTCCTCTGGGATGACGTTGCATCGCCTTGCAATTTCCACTGCCTGTCTCGCATGCAATACCTCTTCGGTCAGCTCGCATGTGGCAATGAATCGTCGCAATTCCCTTTCTTATCCTTCATCCATGCTTTGCTCCTCAATTCTTGCGTTTCCACCTTCCTCCTCTCTGTCATCTTCTCCATCCTCTTCATCACTTTCCATATTTCCTCCTTCATTGCCTTGCCTTCCACCGAATTGTCTTGCATAGTCTTGGTCTCGATCTGCTGCATCCTTGCACTCGTACCGATATTGCACGTTGGATGCGATGCATTCCATTCCGGGCTGACTCTCTTTGAATTCAGCATAGGCTCTCTCCCATGTTTGTTCCCTTTGCTTCAGGTCCTCTTTCCCCTGCCATGGCTTCCACATCATGAGCATGCTCGCATGATACATGCTGTTCTCCCCTTCCCTTGTCCTCCAGGGAAACCAGGCTCCTTTGATGTCAACGACTGTGTTATGGCCTTCTCCTCTTTTTACGTGTTGCTTCACATTGTGGAAAGGATGCCCTGCTAGATAACCACTCTGTATGTTCTTCGGTCATCCCCTTCCTCACGTTCCCTGTGTCTCCCCTGCACTTGACTTGCTTTCCCGCTTTTTTTTCTTTGTAGGTATTTGCTATGAACTCATACAGAGAGTATTCTTCGAATTCCGCTCCCCGATACATGTAATCTTCCCACAGGGTCCGCCCTTTCACAACCCCTTCGGGTGTGACATGAAGTATTACTTGCTCCTCGTCCTCCTATGCCTTTCTGTTTTAGTGGAGCCCGTTCCAAGTGTGTTGTTTTTACTCACTCCTTCTCCTTCTCCTTGCTGTTCATTCCTCATTTCCCCTGGTTTGTCCACCGGGTGCATAGCGTTTCCGCTGGTCCTCCCTTCTTCCTTGCATCCCATTACATCTCTGTTTGATTTTCGTTAAATGTTCGGTATGCTCTTTCCTTCTACATCTACTCACTCTGAATTCAGGGTACCATCTCTTCAATAAACCCATGATTCCGTTCCAATAAAGCGGAACGAAATTGTGCGGTCTCCCCAGCCCATCAAGTATGAAACTACTTGGGGTCCTGATTGCTCAGCATCGCGATTTGTGGCTCATAGGCATCAGAACAGCATTGTGCATGTGCGCTCTCGACTATCCTCCACAACCGGCTCCGGATTGAAATGGTAGGCCGCATGCTTCACAATCACTGAACACATATTATACACACTCTTCTGGCCTTTGGTAGCATAGTTGGAAATATACCAGGTGACGTTTTTGGTGTCTTCTCCATTTGTCAAAAGTTTGATGTCTTGATTACAACGGAGTGCGAGCAAGAGGTCTGGATGATAGTTATTGACGTATCCATAGTTCCATTGTACCATCCAATTCCCTTTCTCATCTATGGTGTCTTCTTCTGCTAATGGCCATGGTGCTCGCCGCTTACACTTCAGCAGCGCTGCTCACCCATGATACGACAAGCATGCTCCCATACGGCATGTATGTATCTGGTTCGACCTCATCAGCTTCCTTTCCAGTTCAGCCCGCTCTCCATATGATGGCATCAAGGGATTCAAAGTCCTAGACCATGCAAGGTCCGCTTGTCATGGCATCTCCGATATTGTTTTTGCATCCATTCCAGGTATGTGTGCACGGATATTCCGTGACAAGTACTCCTTCACCCTCTGCCTGAACAGCTCACTGCTCAACAATTCTTTCAGCTCTTCGCTTGATGGTGTGTTTTCCAACCACAAGAGTAGATGTAAATGCAATGTCACTCGATTTTGCGATTCCACCACACCAATGTATGCCACCACTTCTCCTACAACACCGCCAGTAGTGTGTATACAGTAAGTGCTGCGTTCCACTCCCATCAAGGTTTGCAGCATTGTGGTTATGATGAAATGGAAGAAACGTGCTGCCACAGAGGGATCGGCTGCAATGTTTTCACTTCGGTGGTGTGCATTTGGCCCTCTCATCCGATTGAAATTGTCTAGATTGATTTCTTCCCCGCAAAACACCTGTGCAATGGGGTCATGAAGATCGCTGGGGTTGATAGTTATCCACAGTGAGGGCGGGCCGTGCTTGATCGTCAAACTCCATATCTGGCTACAAATTGCAGCACGGCTATGGTTCGTGCCCACTACACGTGAGGCCGTTGCTTTTAAGTGTGTCAACAGCCGCCCTATGTTCTTGTCACTAATAGGCTGTTTTTTCCTTTCTTCTTCACAGCTACCTTCAATTCTTCCACACTAATCCTTGCCAGGTTTTCGATGTCCTTTTTGAATTCACCCCGGTTCATTTGCAATCGTGCAGATTGCAGGCATTGTTGCTTCTGATGGATACCGAATGTAATGAATGGGTATGAATGATCCTGTCGAAAACGCCGATCGTGATACTGCAAACTCCATTGTGCATGTTCCAAGAACGTCAATGGCTGCTTTTGATTGCCTCTTGGGGCCCCCTGCCCATATGGGTATAAGTGGGGAAATGCTGCCAAGAAATAGCGATGTTGTTCATTGCCCAAATCCTTCGCCATTGTCGATTGGTGACGAACTGCGTATCCACCTTCAGAAGACATGTTTGCCAATGCATGCATCAATAATTCACTGCTGGATAAGAGCGAAATATCTTGCTCTGCAACTCCAAGGTGTGTTAACGGCACTACATTCTCTTCTACTTCATCTTCGATTCACATCCCCTTCTAGCATGTGCTCATCTCCTCCTGCAATACTTTCATGAGTTACATGTCACTCCTTCGATTCAAGCTTTCTATACGCACCTTCTCTACCGTCCCCACTAGGTACATATGTACATATCGTTCTCGCCATCCAAGATCGTTTCATCCATCTCTTGCTGCATGCCTGCCTGTATTTCAATGGGCACATCATCCTCTGGCAAAGAAGCCAGAAGGTCTTCGTCAATCTCAAACTGTGTGTACAGTGGATTGTTGGTTAATAACCATTGCAAAGCAAGTAGCACTCTGCGACGCCTGACACGAAACATGCTCTTCAACCATTGCTTTGGAACGTGCTCCTGTCCGATGTATGTGACCGAGATTACCAATGCCAAAATGCGTGTCGGCCTCGGCATTTTACGTCCTTCCAGCATTTCGATTTTTTCGTTCATGTCCATATCATAACTCGTCACATTCCCTGCCATTCCGCGCTGCAATGTGACAGGATCCTGGCCTCTGGCTGTGAGAGGATACATCTTAAACACAAAGCATCGAGGATACACCAACAAGATTAACAACCATTCGGGAATGGTGAGTTCCTTCACTTCTACTGGAACCTCTCCTATCCACTGTCAGGGACGCGTCCAGGGTCGAGGCGGTCCGGGCGTAGCGTCCGGTGCTAAGGACCTCACGGGGGGTAGATCGGGCATGCATACTGGCAGGCCCGATGCGGGACAGCGGTCCCTGGCCACTTAGACTGAAGTGGGAATGTTGGGTTATTATTAAAAAGGGAAACTATGCTACTTACCTGAAGTGGGAATGTTGAGAAGAAGGTTACTTCTTTGGTTCCCACCCCAGGTGTGTTTATATACATGCGGCTTGGGTCACATGAGGTCCGCCACGTCACCCCGCATACAGCTGCGGTCACCCGGGTGTCCCTGTGAGGGATCCCGAGGGTGTATGCTGCATGCACGTGCACTAGGTTGCGCCCTAGAGCCATCCGGGGTCGTCCATGTCGTGTGTGCGTCACAGGCGGGTCAATAATACATAGATATAAGGGAACGGTCGTCAGTGTGAAATAGAAACAGAAATAGAAATAGAAATAGAAGTGGAAGAGGGATAGAGGGGGAAGGGATATGAGGGAGGGGTGCAGGGTGAGAGAAGGGGTACCGGGTGAGATAGGCCTGGGTGGAGGCGGGTCAGGCGGGTGTGCCCTGACATCCACAGACCATTTGCGAGCGCAAACTGAGGCATTCGATTTTTGCATAAACTTGTCATGCATTCCTCACAGATGTGCACAGTGCGCACTGCCTCTTCTTCTATAACCGCACTCCTAACAAGGAGCAGGCCATCAACCAACTCTATGCTTGGATGAGGGTTCTCTGGACGTAAGTGATGCCAATTGGGGATGTCATCCAGCGCAACCTGCCGGGTTTCGGGTTCCAGTTTCTCACGTCCACACGTCGCACACGTTGCATTCAAAGCGCTGTTTGATGTAGCTTCAAGGAATTGTCTTAACACTGTTTCTCGCGTGCTTTCGCTCGCACACCGGAGATAAGTTGAAGCGTCTTGACTACACATTTCTGCCTCATTGAGAGCTTGCATCACAGGGCTCCGCATCCGAGTGCCTCCTCGACCAATTTTCGTCATGATTGCTGAGCTGCACGGGTGACACGTACATCATGCTGTTGCAAAATAGCGATGATTTCACTGCTCTGAAGGCTTGGCCAGACCATGGAGTGATGTAACCAGAGAGTTCTCTCACCCTAGTTGACTGTGGCTGCCTCGCCGTTTCGCATGTTGAGTTGTTTATTCCAATTGTTCCTTTCTAATCACACTTCAAATCTATTCCAGTGGACATTGTGCACGAGGTGTTTCACCATCTTTTGTCTACTGTCCATCCTTCTCTCATCCCGTTTGTACAGCCATTAAGCTTATTGGCCCCTGCATTTCCCCTCCAGTACTGCTTGGATTTCCGACCCTTCATCAGGAGGGGTGCATCTGGAGTGCTACATTAGTGGCTTGCAATGTGGAAGTACTGTCCAGGCTTCTGTTCACTACTTCCTTCACTTCCGCTTAGCGGTGTTTTCCCTTTCAGACTTCCCTGTTGTTCACCGGCTATTTCCATGCTGCTTCCATGATCCGTTGAGGGTGTCTCCATACTTTGTTGCCACGACTTTGGGTTTGCCAGTTTCAAGGTTGCTCTGCTGCACCCTGCATACTTTACTTCCCCTTTGTCTCCCAGGAGGCAGGTGGCAGCGAGGACATGTATAAATGCGAACCCCTCTCGCCTTGCCTGGTCCCATCAGCCTACTACTCTTGCTCACAATTTCCTTTGCATCTCGACCCCATTAAAATGATGAATACAAAATGCGTTGCCTCGGATGCGGATGTTTCCCCCTCCAAAAAATCGAAGGCCCTTGCTGGTAAGTTTCCTTCTCCCTCCCCACCACGCTTTCCTTCATGACTCGTCCCTATAGATAAAACAGGTACTCCTTTTCTGTTTCACACCTCCACTATCCCCTACCTCATTCTTAGCTAAGCCGTCCACTGATGCTACCACTGTGTCTCTCTCTGGTTTGTGTAGATTGCCTGCTTTCGTTCCACTGCTAGATTCAATGCTGGAAAGCGGTGATGATGTTGAGGATGAGCTGCATGCCCATGATGAAGGTGCTTTCATCAATCCCTCCCCCCTTTGTACTGTCATACTAACGCCTCCTCCCTCCCTTAAGAGGATGTTTTCGTCCAGTCAGTTGTTAACACGCTTGAAATTAATGCTGGAATGACTGACAACGCCTCAGCAGAAGGTAGGTAATTATGTTGTTGTTGGTATGCTTTTCTCATCTCATGCCCGGTTCGCATAGATTGTTTCATCGAAGCGTCAGAGGAAATGAGGGAAGATGTCCTCCAGCGTGGTGAAGTGTATATTCCTGAATGGTTGAAGGCTTCGCAATCCATCAAAACTCGGCTTACCTTCACCCCTTGGGACAGTATCTCAGACAAGGAGGACGTTGTGGACAGCGACGACGAGCTGTTTCTTGACCATGATACCTACAGTGCGAAATTATGGGAGTAAGTTTTTCCTGTTCTTGCTTGTCCTCTCCCTCATGTCCTGTGTGTTGGTTTCTTTCAGGCGACTATACAGGATGTCGGTGATTGATGACTCAGAGGATGAAGGTTTCATCTTGGTTGGGAAATTCACGTGGGACGACACCAGATTCTCTTTCAATTCTGATAACATTTTTGCTTACAAGCATGCTGTTGGCAAGGTCAAGGCGAATGACCATGTTCGAATCTGGATTATTGGGTCCATTAAACAGGCTTGCCAATGGAAGTCCAATCTGTCCATGGGGATCGTTCCCTTCATTCGTTGCTGTTGGGCAAACGCTAAGGCTGCAATTCTTAACCATTCTGAAGGCAAACCGTCCTTTCATTTCTTGCCTTGTCTCTTTTATGTTTTGAAACTGCCTTTGGTAGAGGGAGTAAAGTCACCCTGCATCGCGAGTGATCATATTCCTTTGGCTGTGTTTACACCTAAGGTACATGCTTGCTTTGTGATTAGAGGGCCATTTTCCCCATTCCTTCGATGTAGGGCTCCTTCGATTGCATCTTTGATGCTTCCCACCTGTTCTCTCCTCAATTCAAGAAGAATAAGCGTTTCAATGGAGAACTGTTGCCCAGTCACATCATTCTGGCCGATTGTTTCCTGCAACGTTTTTCTGAGAAGGAAACGAGTTTGAAGAAGGCAGCATTCAAGATTTCCTCCATTGGTGTCTTCGGTCAAGGTGATGTTCCGCTCGCAAGTTCGTCCACTGTGGGTACTTCCCCTTCAAAGAAAAAATTCTGTATGTCATTCATCATTGGTGTCTCAGTATGGTGTGTGGAGAATAATATCCTTTGCAGAGTTTCTTCCTCTTCTCTGCTTTGTACTTTCTTGGATGTTTTCTCTTCCATGTGCCAATGAAAATATTTTCAGAGCTGTGCAGGGTGTTAGACACTGGTCCAGGGTCGGCACCGAAGGTCGCCATTAGCGGGCCGCTATAGGCGATGACAGCCATGATGCCGTGAACAAGGCCCAAGGGTAGGGCATTTGGCCTCAGCGACTCTAAAGGAGCGCTGTGCCCCCTAGCTGTCTCTTGGCCCTCATTTCAGACTCACTGGGGTTGCCTTGCTGGGGTCAGGACTTAAGGAGTCGTGGTCAAATCGATATTAGAGCTAAGGTACAATAAAGTATCATACAGGATATATATATAGGGAGAATGAATGAATGGAAGCGGACCCGGGCCGAAGGCTGAAGGGTCCGGAAGCAAAAGGAAACAAAGAGCGGGGTTGGCCACACAGTGGCCAGCAATGACCGAGGGTCAAAACAAACAATAACAGATAAATAAAAGAAGGAGCGTAGGGCCGTGATAGTGGCAATGGTATCGTAGCGGTGCTGGACTCGGAGTTGGGCCGGAGTCGGGCGCAGGAATGGTAGCGGCCCTGTAGGGGCCAAGTGGGCAGGGTAGAGGAATCGCACTGGGCACGGTGCCGGAGGTGGACTCAGGGTGGGAAGGTTGGTGTGGCTGTGGGGAAGTCGGCCAGGTGCAGGGGAGCCTAGGGGCAAGCGGGGGAGTGAGCAGGGAGTCCTCATGGGGGATAGGGCTGAGGTCAGGGCTCGCGCTCACGCTCGCATAGCGGGAATGGGCTCAGGCGGCATTGGGATGGGCAGGGAATGGGCTGGAATGCACAGCCATGACACAGGGGACACGTGCAATGCACGCACTCTAGTATTGATTGGGCTATATACCCTTGGTGTCATATCCATCCACAGCCATCGTCTTCCACTACCTCCGATCCTTCCGGATTACCTCTGCTCCTCTGCCACTAACCTCGGAGCCTCCGGTTTCCGCAATCACCTCCAACCCCCCTGATGGTCACCACCTCTCCAATTCAATATATTACCTACACCTCCCTAAGTACAGAGCCCCAAAGCTCTCTGGACAGCTCTGACGTTGTAGGAGTGCATAATGGGTGTGCTCAAATTCATGGAACCTTACACAGCAAATACGTCAAAATTGGGCTCCTGCCCTTGTACATTATTAGGAAGAAAGAATGATAGAGGGGAGTAATAGGAAAGAAGAAAGAGGGTTTTCGTACGAACCGAATGAGCCTTTCCGCGAAGGACTTGGTTGAGATTTGGTGGTGAAATTCAACCTGAGATGTCCTCATGAGCAAAGTGTCATATCCATGCATACCCGATCCCAACCCGACTCCCGGACCTCCATCTTCACCACCTCTGGAGTCCTACCCTACCGCTGTCCATTCCTATATTCACCTTCGGTCCTGACACCACACCTCCTCTCACCCCTCATGCCACCTCCACTCCTCCATCCTTCTCCTGTCCTATCTCCGCCCGCTCCGATACTCACCTTGGACCAAACACCACACCTCTCACCACCCTCCTACTCCTCCTCCCACTCCTCCACTTCCTCCTCACAACACCTCCACCCTTCTGTCATTCCCCTACCCTTCGCCTGTCCACTCCAATACTCACCTTTGGACCTGACACCTTTCCTCTCCTCCACTCCTCTCCCTTTTCCTCTTTCCTCTCTCTTCCCTCTGGCCCTCTTCTGCCGACCTTCTGCCAAGTTACGACCTTCCGCTGCTGTCCCGTACCTCATACCCGGACACTGCTTGTACCTTCGCTCTGAGACTCTGTCATAGTTCCTACCTCAGACTTTGACCCCACCTCGGCTTTAGTCCATTGCATTGGTGACCTCATACTATGTAAACACCATTGCCAATATTCCTCAGACTTTCAACCCCGCCTCTGTAACCTCCATAAGCTCCGTGACTGTCACGACTGACAAATCCCAGGACTCCATCAGTGGCGAACCAATGCCGATAGGCAAATCCGCCAACCCGAAACCCATCCTAACCAGCCCCCAACCCGGTGTCTGGCCCCTGCCTTATTGTGTGAGACTTGGCCAACAATCAGAACCTAGACCCTGCCGGCATTCCCACCTTACCTCCAGTTCCCGAGCCCTTGGCGCTCCCAGCATTCAGTCCCTCCAGTTCCTATGCCAGCCTTGTCTCCATCTGAACCACACTCATTGCTTCCCACTATGTGGTCACAGCCATGCCCCACTTCTGTGCATTCCACACCCTCTGCCCACTCCATGCCCTCTGCCCATCTCTGCACCCTCTGGCCACTTCTGGTTGCCCTTGACACCTCTGGTCAGGTCAACACTCCCACTCCCCTCTGTACCTCTGTTGGCCTTCATGCTGTCCTTGTGTGACAGTGCTGACAGATCAACCTCTGTTCACAGACTTGTGTCGGCACCGCACCGACCCCGCTTATTTGCGGACTTGTATCGGCGCCGCGCACTGACCTCCACTTTTGTCCTCTGGCCATTTTTGTCACTCGGCAACATAAACATTCATTCCTTGCCGAGTGCCTATTATGTTCACCCCAATATTGGCATTTGATCCGTGTGCTATTGCACTTTCCTATTCATTCATTTAATCTGTCAATATTGGTACTTGATCCACTTTGACTTTATTCATTCCTTGCCTCCCATTTCCCAGGTTCTTGTCCTTGGTTTAGTTTGACAAGTCCCCGCTCATTTCCGCTTATTTCCGCACCGGACCGACCGGTCCCTCTTTTGATTTCTCTTATCTACTTATACCTTGTAAATACTTTTGGGGACCTCAGTCTGAAATCAACTAGAGTACCCCCCCCCCCCTGTCTGGTCTGAGTCTCTCCTTCTGCAAAGGGGGCTTCCCCCCCTCTGAGTCCGTGCTCGTGGAGTCTGCGCTCCCCCTACAGGTCCGCTCCGCACGCAAGTCTTGTTTGAAGTCCACTGTGAGTGTCAATCCGTAAATATGGGATCTCCCCCAAACGTCAAGCTCAGGGCACAGCGCTCCACCTGAGTCGCTGAGGCCGCGATCTCACTCTGCTAACCTTGAACAGCGCTTCCAGATGCGCCGCATATTTCCACCTGCATATCCATGCACGTGCTCCAACAGAACTCTCCATCACCTCCGACCTCAACTCGGACAGAACCCAATCCGCCTTCTATCCACCTTCTGACAGTGTTCCGACTCTGACAGTGACCTCTGAGCTCCACAGATCGTCTTCGGCACTTTCCCCACTTGTAATGTATCTTTCGTGTTTTCCCCTCATCCCTATTTGGACTGCTGCTTCTTCCCATTCTAGCCAGTTAGTCATCATCCCCACTTCCCCTCATCCTCCTGCCCCTCTGGGAATCGCCCTCCTTACCTCCTTTCAGATGTATCATAGGTTCTGCCTTATGACCTTTGGTACTGCTCCACTTTTGCCATCCCTTTGTTCCTGTTCAGACGCCTTCATTCCGATTCGGTTCCCCTTCGCTTCCTTGTGCTTTTGCCCCCTCCATTATATATATCGGCGCTTGTACATACTCATAGCGGGCTCAGTCCGAAATCGACCTGAAATGCCCCCTAGAGACTTCCTGCTCGCCTACTGTGAAATTAAGGACCAAATGGACAAACAACAATGGCACAGTGCTCAGCTTGAGTCGCTGAGGCCAAGGTCCCTCCACGCTAAGTCTCTGATTCCACTCCGGAGTTGTCTGAATCCACCCGTTCTAACAGTCAAAAGCTGACGGAAGAGGACGATCTTGGGGTCATTAAATCGAGAAAAATGCCCAAATACTCAGTGTTGAATTTCGCCCTAATCGGTTCAGTGGTTGTGGAGATATTCTGATTATCAGGCATGATGGGAGTCACGGGACAATATGAACTATGTGGAAGCTCACGTGCAAGCTAGTCTCAGTGAAATTCAAGGAGAATATGGGCTAGTTAAACGATACAAATGCTAAAGAAGATATTGGAGTCTTGGAATTGTGGCATATTATTTGGCCCAAGTTTCCCTGTGCACAGATAATCAAGATATATATTCCGTTTCTGAGAATTCCCGTTCTCAGTCAAATCTCCACCAGACTTCACAAAATCGGTATCGATAGAAAGCTATGGATGAGGAGAGTCGAGTGGGATAAAGGGACGGAGGTTTGATGCAGTGTTTGGAGTGGTATGAGGAAGTTTGTGTTTTTCTTTTCAATTTCCTTTGTTGTTTGGGATTTTATTCTAAGCCAATGGCAGCCGAACCTTACCACCGGTGTTGGTGGAGGCTTAGCTCAGCCAAACCCATATATTTCGGACTCTTTTCACAGATTGTATGTTTGCTGTATGGGTATATGTACATAGCAATTGAAACAGATCAGAGATTTTCCCCCTCCCACTACTTTTGAAGTCCGTGCACTTGGGTGCTGTGAGTGGCCACATGATTGGTAAAGGGCTATCGTGACCTTTAGGAAAATCCACCACAGAAAGAAGATAAGCAAGAGTTATCAGAATTATATATATTTCCCCAAATTCCCCCCCCCCTCCCGTTGATTATATGGACCTGTTCATACCGCAACACCCCTTTTAGCCCCCTTTCCCTTTCTTCCCTAGCTTTTGGGGAGTGAGTTGGAGTGCTACCTTCCGTTTTCTGGAGACAGTAGCCAATTCCCACTTGCAACATCCACTAGCGCATTCCTGCCTCTGCTAGGCAATTCACTTGCTTGCCCTGCAAGTCTACCTTCGGGCCTATCCCTCCTTTCCACTTGTGGGTTATAACCCATCATTCCACTAAACCCGCAACCTGACTCATCGGTAATATTCAGTTGGCTAACATCTATCCCCGTTAGCTCTGCTCCACTCGGTCCCGCTATTCATGGGCCCGCCCTCACTGTAACTATATATACATAACTTCTAGATAGGTTACACCCTAGTGCTAAAATCGACTAGAGTTGATCCCCCTTTTTAGTTCTTGTTGCCAGTAAGTAAATTAGGGCATGGATGTGTAACTTGGCACAGCGCTCCTGGCTTGAGTCGCTGAGGCCAAAGCCCTCCACCATGGAGACAACTCCCTCATCTCACTCCGGTCTCTATCACTTG